GCACGCCCGAGGCCGCCGCCGCCGGCGCCGGCCGCGCCACCTCGCGGGCTGCGCGCAGCGGGCCGCGGCCCGGCGGCCCTCCCCCCCCCCCCACGGGCGGAGGGACTGCGGGCTGCGGCCTCCGAGGTGGGGCCCGAGTGGATGGGGCCGAAGGATCGCGCCGCGTCGCCACTGCATCGCCGACGCATCGGCGACGCATCGGCGATGCATCGGGGACGTCGGCGGTGCATCGCCGACGTCGGCGCGGGGAATCACGGGCTCCACACCGAGCCGCGTCGCCGATGCATCGGCGGTGCGGCGCGATCCTGCGACCCCATCGATGCGCTCGGACCCCATCTGGGAGGCCTGGAGCGCAGGCAGGACCCCCCGGGTGGTCCGGGCTGGCCGCCAACAGGTCGGCGGCGCGATCCCGAGGGCAGACGAGCGCGTTCGGCTCCTCGCACATAGCAGCTGCGTGCGAACGGCCCAGTTCCGCCGCGGGGGATCCAGGATCCATGGCTCACAGGCAAGCATGCGTTTTTGACGGGGCCCTGGGACACACAAGCAAATAGACACTACCAACAGGATTCTCCATATTTTCCTATATTTTCTGGGTTTTTGTCTTCCCTCCCACTTCCCATGTTTTCCCATATTTGTCTGGGGAACCGACGATTCATTGTGTCTGTGTGTATGTTTCCCTCCTGAGTCTTGTTTTGCGGACGTTTGCGAGTAGGCGCTTTGCGACTAGTTGAACGCGCCCGGTGAAAGGGGGGGTCGGCGAAAGGGCGTGGGGGAGAGGGGATGCTGCTTGGAAGGAGGCTGCGTCTTAGAAGCCGCTGGCCCTGCATGTATAGATAAGGCCCGCGCCTTCCAAGAAGCAGGGACGCTTCTGAGCGAAAGGGGAGGAGGAGGAGGAGGAGGAGTCGGAAGAGGAGGAGGAGGAGGAGGAGGAGGAGGAGGAGAAGGAGGAGGAGGAGGAGAAAAGGAGGAGGAGAAGGAGGAGCAGAAGGAGGAGGAGGGGATAGGATAAGGAATGAAAAAAGGGGAGGATAGCCTCCTCCTTCCTCGAGGGTCCCTCCTCCCCTCTGCCCCCTTCGGCGCGCCGCCGGACATGGGCCCCAGATAAGGCGGCTGGACCCACTGTCTTTTGGTCATATCTGGGCTTCCCGCAATTCTTCCCGAGCGCCCCAGCCCCTCTCAGGGCGCGAGCGGAGAGGCGGCCACAGCTGGGTTTCCCATCCTTCGGCTTTTGTGGCGAGCAATGGGGAACCCACAGGTGGACGGCAGCCCCCCCCAGTGCATCGGCGGTGCGCACCGGTGGCGCATCATCCCCGAGCATCGGGCTCCGCATCGAACGCATCGCAGGTGCACCGGCGATGAGACGCTGGTGAGGCTTCGGGCTGTGCACAGAAAGCCCCCCGCAGGTAGTCTGGGCTGGCCTCAGCCAGAGGAGCAAACAATGCCATAAACAGAAATCTCCGAGGCCCTCTCGCGCCTGCCCCATTGCTATGCAACCAGGCTGCTACAATCTTGAGATTTGAGCGGCGCAATATTTTTACGCTGGGCATCCTTAGTCGGTCTCGGGCCCCGGCACCATTATGTAATAGTGCCGGGGCTCCCAAAATGCCGCAGAAAGATGGGGTCGAGGGCTCCGGTCGTGATTATTTGCGATGTTGCAATTGCTTCGCAACGTCGGATCTCAGGCACATGTCGCCACATGAAAAACAAAACCCCTCATTGGCCCCAGGCGCGCCGGGGTGCACGAGGAGCAGTGGAGGAAGCACCAGCCTCGTCTCCAAAGCCTCCTCGTAGCGTGATATCCATCGCCGCCACCGTCGATGCCAACGCCGATCCCTCGTCGCCATCATCATCTCGTGAGCCCCACCCTCACCGTTATCGCGCCGCCTGGCCAGCACTTCGTCACACCGTTACGCTGCCATGCCATCACGCGGTCGCGCCATCCTCACAGCCACTACCACCACCACCACCACCATCATCATCATCATCATCATCATCATCATCATCATCATCATCATCATCATCATCATCATAATCATCATCATCATCATCATCGTCATCGTCATCGTCATCATCATCATCATCATCATCATCATCATCATCATCATCTTCATCATCACCACAATGATCATCCTCATCATCAGCATCATCATCATCGTCATCATCATCCTCATCATCCTCATACTCAGCATCATCACCATGGTCATAATCATAATCATAATAATAATCATCATCATCATCATCATCATCCACATCATCACCATCACCCCCATCCTGATCGTGTCATCAGCACCAACAGCATCATCATCATTATCAGCATCATCATCACCGCCACCCATCATCATCATCATCATCATCATCATCATCATCATCATCATCATCATCATCATCGTCAGCAGCGTTATCATCATTAACAGCATCATCACCATCACCATCACCATAACCACCACAATCACCATCACCATCACCACCACCACAACCACAACCATTATCATCGTCATCATCATCAGCATCATCATCAGCATCATCATCCTCATCATCCGCATCCTCATCCTCATCCTCAACCTCGTCCACATCCCCATCCTCATCCGCAATCTTGAGCTTCCTCAGGCGGTCTGAAGGCCATCCGGGGTCGTATGGGCGGACCCTAGGGCAGTCTTGGAGCCTTCTGGGGCAATCAGGGGCCATCTTGAAGGGTCCCCGGGGCTCTGGTCCACCCATGGAGATTTGGGGCACCTGGTTTTGACCCCCGGAACGCTGACGCCGATATACATACATGCGTCACCTATGGATGAAAACGCCCTCAACGATATTCGATCATTAACCCGTTGTACGAATTTGCGCAAAAACGTGCGAGGCGCAATGCACGTGCTTGCAAAGCTAGCTGCTTGGAAACTTACTAGTGATATTCGGCGCCAAGGTCGAAACTGTATTACCGTCAGCGGTGTGGTGCCCTGGAGGCTTGGGCGATACCCACTCTCCCAAGCAGTGCCGTGCTACCTCGACCTCCTCAGTTTTGCACCTTAATTGCCCGCCTGACATCAGCTACCATATCATTGCTGTGCCATCCGATATCGTGCATCCTTTTGCTGCGTCTTGCCAACACTGTCCGACCCTCCTTCCCCTTCGCCCTTGGAGACGCTTGCTTCGCTCGAGATGCTCCCAACAACCAGCAAGCTCGGCATGCGCCGCACACACACACACACACACACACCGAGGGCACACAACATGAAGGGGTCTCCCGCGCGATGCTGACAGTTCGCTCCATGTCGTGGTGATCATCTGAACGAGGCCAGCACGTTTAACCCCAAGCAGCTACTGAAACTTGTACAACAAGCGTGGGTACGCGTGTGAGCGTGTGAGTCTCCACTGGGAGCCTGGGCGAACCCCTATCTAGCATTCAGACTTGTGCGATCGCCGAGTCCGCGACATCAAAAAAGAGATATTGTGCGTGTGCGTGTGCGTGTGCGTGTGCCTGTGCCTGTGCCTGTGCCTGTGCCTGTGCGTGTGCGTGTGCGTGTGCGTGTGCGTGTGCGTGTGCGTGTGCGTGTGCGCGTGCGCGTGCGCGTGCGCGTGCGCGTGCGCGTGCGCGAGAGCACGTGCGCGTGCGCGTGCGCGTGCGCTTGCGCTTGCGCGTGCGCGTGCGCGTGCGCGTGCGCGTGCGAGTGCGCACGTGCGCGCCTGCGCGCGTGCGCGCGTGCGCGCCTGCGCGCGTTCGCGCCTGCGCGCGTGCGCGCGTGCGCGCGTGCGCGCGTGCGCGCGTGCGCGCGCGTGCGCGCGTGCGCGCGTGTGCGCGTGTGCGCGTGTGCGCGTGTGCGCGTGTGCGCGTGTGCGCGTGTGCGCGTGTGCGCGTGTGCGCGTGTGCGCGTGTGCGCGTGTGCGCGTGTACGCGCGTGCGCGTGCGTTCGTGCGTGCGTGTGGGTGTGGGTGTGGGTGTGGGTGTGGGTGTGGGTGTGGGTGTGGGTGTGGGTGTGGGTGTGTGGGTGTGGGTGGGTAGGTGTGTGTGTGTGTGTGTGTTGTGTGTTGTGTGTTGTGTGTGTATGTGTGAGTGCGTGTGTGAGAGAGAGAGTGCGTGGGTGTATGTGTGTGAGACAGAGAGTGCGCGCGCGTGTGTGTGCGTGTGCGAGTGCGTCCTTGGATCTCTCATTTGAGACTGGGCATGCCGTGGGCTTCGAGTCGCTGCCCGCGGCACGCTGGCGAAGGCAGCCTCAGCCGCCGACGCCCCTCGCTCGCTCAGCGCCGTACTCGGGAGCCGCCGCTTCAGGGAGCCTGCCGCAGGGCGGTGCGGCGTGGGACAACACGCGTGTGGAACCTCATGGGGCGACATCGGGCGGGCGGGGCCAGTTGTCTGCAGCAGGGACAACAACCCTCCCCTCGAGTCGAGTGCCGGCGCTGTTCGGGGAAGGGGCCCAACGGCAAGGACCGCCCAGCTCAACGGCTTCGCCTGTTCTGGCGAGCCTCTGCTCATGGGCTCTGAGGCACCTGCAGCTCCTGCACAGGGCGCAACCTGGACCGCCCGCAATCCGCACTGGCCGTCTCCTCCCGAGCGAAAGGGCTCCTCCTCCTCCTCCTCCTCCTCTTCTTCTTCTTCTTCTTTTCCTGATTATTCTTCTTATTCTTCTTCTTCTTATTATTCTTCTTATTATTCTTTTTCTTCTTCTTCTTCTTCTTCTTCTTCTTCTTCTTCTTATTCTTATTATTATTCTTCGTATTATTATTAGTATTCTTATTATTATTCTTCTTATTCTTATTATTATTATTCTTATTCTTCTTATTCTTATTATTATTATTATTATTCTTTTTCTTATTATTATTTTTCTTCTTATTAATATTCTTATTATTATTATTATTATTCTTATTATTATTCTTCTTATTCTTCGTCTGCTTCTTCTTCTTCTTCTTCTTCTTCTTCTTCCTCTTCCTCCTCCTCCTCCTCCTCCTCCTCCTCCTCCTCCTCCTCCTCCTCCTCCTCCTCCTCCTCCTGGGGGGCCGGACGGCAGAGCCCCCTCGGGGACGGCCGCGGGGGCGGCCTGTGCCCCTCTTGGCCGCCTTCTCCTTCTCGGCGGCGGCGGGGGGCGGCGCCGGCGCCAGCGACAGCAGCGACGAGTCGTCCTATCCGCAGATGATGATGAGGAGGAGGAGGAGGAGGAGGAGGAGGAGGAGAAGGGAGAGGGAAAGGAGGTGGGAGAGAAGGAGGGAGGGGAGGAGAGAGAGGAGGAGGAGGAGGAGGAGGAGGAGGAGGAGGAGGAGGAGGAGGACGACGACGAGGAGGAGGAGGAGGAGGAGGAAAAGAAGGAGGAGGGAGAGGAGGAGGGAGAGGCGGAGGGAGAGAAGGAGGAGGAGGTCTGGCCGTCCAGCCGTCCGAGCGGAGCGCGGCAGGAGCAGTCTGCGTGCGGGACGCCGCTCTGCCCGTGGCTGTCGAGCCCAAGATCTCCCCAACTGTTGCCGCGGAATCACCGAGTAGAGGGCTCCTTGGATGGGGTCCGAGTAGATGGGGTCGGAGGATTGCACCGCACCGCCGATGTATCGGCAGTGTATGGGCGATGCATCGGCCAAATCGGCGATGCCTCGGCGACGTCGGCGTGGAGAACACCAGGCTACACATCGAGCCGAATCGCCGATGCATCGGCGATGCGGCACGATCCTCCGACGCCATCTGCTCCGGCCCCATCTGAGAGGCCCAGACCAACGCCTTCCCCGATCTCGGACGCCCGAGCTATCCCGGGAGAACTGCGGCCCGGGGCAGCCCCGGCTTGGGGGCCCCCGCGGCGCGCAGCCGCTGCTGCCCCTGACCGCCCCCAGCCCCGAGAATTCGGGGCTCCGAGCCACCACGGCGCTCGGGGCAACGGGCGGCTCGCAGGCCGGTGTGGATGCCCCATCCGAGGCGGGGGCTGGGCCGTCACGGAGGCCAGGCGCCCAGGGTCCGGGGCGTTCCGGCCAGCGTCCGAGGGCAGCCGCGCGAGCCGCGAGGGGAGGGAACCAGGGGGAGGGAGGAGCGAGAGCACGCCCCGCATTGGACTGGAGGCCGTCGGCCCGTATCAGGAGGATGCGCGACAGGGATGCAGGAGCCCTGGACGCCCATTTCGAAGCTTCTCGAGCGGGGCGCGGCGAGCGCAAATGGCCAAGGATGGACCGAGGAGGCAAGAACGCAAGCGTACACCTGGGAAGGCGGCCCATCCTTACTATGCGGGCCGACTGTAAAGAAGCCCGTGAGTTCCATGGTCGAGTGTCTCTCGGGCCCGGGAACGGAAGGGCCTGCGTGCGGTTCTCGGGGGAAGCCAGGGCGCCTGGCGTCAAGTCGGGCATGTCCCTCTACAGGGAGCAGCTTCAACGTTACTTTTGCTTGCTTCTGACGCACGGGGTCGCTGGGCCGAGCCCGGGGGCGCTCCCCCTGGGGCAGCCTCGCTGGCGAGCTGGCTCGCTCTTGCGGCAGCTTGCCAATTGGGCGCCACGGTGCCTGCGGCTGCTCCTTGGGCAGCCCCGCTGGCGCGCTCTTCCGACGGCGGGTCCCGCCTGTGGCGCACGCCCTCCTCAGGGCTCGCCCTCCTGGTCCGAGGTCCAGAGCGTCAGATTGTCGCGGAGCAGCTGCATGATGAGGGTCGAGTCCTTGTAGGAGTCCTCTGCGACGTTGTCGAGCTCGGCGATCGCGTCCTCGAAGGCGGTGCGCGCCATCTTGCACGCCTCGTCCGGATTCGCTAACACCTCGTACTGAAACACAGAGAAGTTCAGAGCAAGACCGAGGCGGATCGGGTGCGTCACTGCCAAGTCCTTGGTGGCAATCGCTTGCGCCTCCTCGTAGGCTAATTTGGCGTCGTTCGAAGCCTTTTCCTTGTCAGCACCCGTAGTGTACTCGGCAATGTAGCGGTAGTAGTCGGCCTTCATCTTCTGGTAGAAGACCTTCGACTCGCCTGTGGTTGCCTTTCCGATGAGACTGTTGTCCAACACGGCAAGGATCTTCTTGCAAATGTCATCGAGCTCACCCTCCACCTTCTTGCAATACTCCTTCGCGAACTTTGCGTTCTCCTCGTTGCCCTTGCTAGTCTCCTTCTGCTCCACGCTGGTGATGATACGCCATGCAGCGCGGCGCGAACCCACGGCGTTCTTGTAGGCCACGGACAAGAGATTGCGTTCTTCAACTGACAGCTCGTCCCCTGACTTCCCCACTGCCTCCATGTGAGTCGCCATCTCGTCGTAGCGCTCCGCTTGCTCCGCAAGCTTCGCGAAGTATACCTCCTTGTCGCGATTCACTGCCATCCCTACAACTGGCTGTTTTGCGAGGTGGACCCGCGGCCGATGCTACGTATCTCCAATATGATTGGAAATCTCTGTTCTGAGGGAGAAGCTTCAAACATAGAGGTAACATGAGATATGGGGACGACTTCTCTACTATCTTTGACTAGTTTTGAATATGTGAGAACGTTTAAAAATTTCCCTCCAACATCCGCCTGTCGGAGGATATGCCCGACCTAAGCTTAGGTCGGGCATGTCCCCCACATACGGATTTTGGACGACCGAATGAAAAATACAAAAAAACAATACCCAACAATGGTCAGAAATAGTCAGAACATCTTCCCCAGGGTAGTCTTTCTTTATATATATATGATAAAAAATGAATGTTCCTCCTATAGAGGGACAGGCCCGACTTGAACCTAAGCCTGGCGCCAACGCGCCTGGCGCCAGGGGCGCGCCCGAGGGCCAGGCGGAGCCCCTCCTCGGAGGGCTCCCCCCCGCTCGGCGGTGGCCAAACCTCCCTTTAGCAAACCTCCCCTCAATGAAAAACGGCCTGGGGCCGAAACCGCCTGACCTGGACCCGCAAAAAACGACGGCCGCGACGCCCTCTCGCGAACCGAAAAAAGGCCAATTCCTTGATCGACGCGTCAAGGTAGGACGTCTATCAACCTCCCCCCACCCCCCGCGGGACATTGGACGCCCAAAATGGGTACGGATAAAGTAGGCACAATGCCCAACAACAAATGTTGTCCCAAACCAACAGCGGCCGCTGTAGGGCAGGCGGCCTTCTGTCTCAAGTGGACACAGGCCGCGGCGGCGCGGACAGCGAATTCTGTTCAAAATGAACAGGAACCGCTGTTGGGCATTGTACCCATTCTTTCCGAGCCTCTGGGGGCCTGTTGAGCCGACTTGGAAGCCCTCTGGGCCCGTCTTGGGGCTCTCTTGGGGGCCTCTTCGGCCGTCTTGGAGGCGTCTGGGAACACCCCCCCGCGGGACGGCCGCCCGAGGGCAACGTTGTGGGGGGGCCCTCCCGAGGGGCCCCCCCAGTGGGCGCACGCCGCGGCGCCCCGCGGGACCTCCTCGTCGGGGCCCCCCTCCGGGGCCCAGCGCTGCACCCTCGACGAGGATGGTAAGGAGGCGCGGTGAGGATGCGAGGGCCTTGGAACGCCATGTTGACGTTTTCCGTGCCGAGCGCAGCAGAATGCCGAAGGATGCCGAATACCGAATGGTCAAGGATGCAAGGATAGTCTTGGAAAGTTGCCCCATCCTTACTCTCATGGTTGACTGTACCACGAGCTGTTCTTCGAACCCCAAAAAGACGTTCTAAGAGCAAGGACCATGCTGCAAGAACGCACAGCAAAAACCCGATGTGCAAGAACATCTCAGCCAGAAATGTTCTAAGAGCCTTCCGTGCAGACCACAAAAAAAGTTATTAGAACATGATTTGGTGGGCGTGTCGGCAAGCCAGGGCGCGGCGCGCACAAGGGGGTAGGGGGAGGGGGGAAGGCTTCTTAGAAGGAGGCTGCTTCTCAAAAGGCGATGGCCCTCCATCTGCAGACAAGGCCCGCGCCCTTCTAAGAAGCAGGGGTGCTTCTAAGAAGCCTTCCCCCCTCCCCCTACCCCCCGCTGCGCGTGGCCGACCCTTGTCAGGGCCCCCTCCGGGGCCCACCATTGAGCAGGGACCGACCGTTCCGGCACTCCTATAGGCCTACCACGACATGATCCTATAGAACCAAAAAACCCTCGAATAACAACAACCATGTTCTGAGAACACAAGCCCGACGTGTTAAAACAAAACGGTCGCAGCCAGAAATGCTCTAAGAACGTTTCGTGCAGATCACAAGAGTTTCTTAGACCATTCTCTGGTGGGCCTGTAGGCAAGCCAGGACGCGTCCCACTGCTTGACACCGGGCCTGCCTGCCCCAGGGGGCAGGACACGGCCAGCGCCTGCCCCAGCAGGGCCCAGCAGTACACCCCGGGCCGTCCGCGCAGCCTTGAGGCCGGGTGCACACAGATGCCCCAGCCTCCCGAGCTGTGGGGTGCCGGAGCGTCTGCACGCAGGATTTCTTCGCCGAGCTCCTTGGCCCCACTGCCGACCAGATTGCGCGGCGTATGCATCGAGCCACTCCGATGCCACGGACCGACAGATCCCCCCTGAGCCTATCCCTCCTGACGTTGCCCTTTTTGGCTCTCTGGTCATAGTTACCTCGGCTCGCCGGCGGCCGTTCGGGAGGATCTGGGCATCCTCGGAACTCCCTCGGCGAGGCGCAACTGCCGGACAGCACCCCGAGGCCGCAGAACCTCCGGGAACCGACGGACGTCCGAAAACCTCGAGCCTCGAGCCCGAAGCTTGTCCTCCCCGTTCACCCACAACTCAGACTCAGAAGCTCACCCGACGCGTCCGCTGAGGGGCAACGAAAGGAGGGGCCAGCTCAGAGTGCATACATCGAGCTGGAATCGGCGTTAAATAGATCGGCGATAGGCCCGCGAATCCACACGTTCATAGGAGGGGTCGGCTATCGGGCCCCTATCGGCGATCAATGCGCGATTCGAGGTCGATCCATCCCCCCCTTAGCCTATCCCCCCCTACCGTTGCCCCTGGTCCGCCGACCCCGAAGCAGCAGGCGTTCCGTTGACGCCGGCGCCGCAGCCGCTGGCGCCGCAGGCATGCTCGCGGCCGCCCGGCCGGAACCTGCGCGGGGGGCGGTGGGCGAGGATGACGGCCAAGACAGGCAAGAGGCCTTCGCCTGTAATCTCCGCCGGTGGCATGCGAGGGACTTCGACGACGACGACGACAAGGACGACAACGACAACGACGACGACGACGACGACGACAACGACGACGACGACAACGACGATGACGACGGCCGCGCCGACGACGACGCCGACGCCGACGCCGACGCCGACGCCGACGCCGACGACGACGACGACGTCGACGTCGACGGGGGGCGAGGAAGCGGGCGCGGCGAAGACGGGCAAGGGGACCGCGCTCGTACCGGTGGCCGCCCCCGCCCCGCAGGTCACCGCGCTCGTGCCGCGCGCCCGGCCGGAGGCCCCCTCGACTCTCCATGGCGGGCAGCAGCGGGCGACGGGCCGCCCCGGGCTTGGGCGGCCGGCCCGCCAGGCGGCGGCGGGCGGCGGCACGCAGGCGCTGTCGGCGGCGGCGGAGAAGGCGTCGGCCCCGGGGCGGCGACAGGGGCGAACAGCCCATGGGGCGGGCAGTACATGCAGTCGCCCGGGAGCTTCGCCGAGGATGGACCATCGGCGCTCCTGGATGCGCGCGTTGCCCTGCCCTGGGCCGTTCGCCCCCCACGTAGCCCCGGGTCGGCGAGGCTGCGCGGGGCGGGGGGACGGGCGGGGGCGGCGACGGGGGGGAGGGGCGGGGGTAAGGGGGGGCGGGAGGGCGAGGGCGAGGAGGGAGGGGGCGGAAGAAGGAGGGGAGGGGGGAGGAGGGAGGGAGGGGGGAGGAGGGGACGTCGGGGGCCAACAGACGAGAACTTCAGAAATCCGACGCCCATTTTTTTCAATCGCGGAATTTCACCGCGATTCCAGCATCTGGGGCTGGTCATCGGGCCCGAGATCATCAAAAATGGATCCGCGGCGTAAACAACTCCCCAGGTGAAGCGGACTGGACCTCTGGGGCCATACCGGAAGATGTCATGGATCAAGAAAGGCGGGAGGAGGAGGAAGAGGAGGAGGAAGAGGAGGAGAAAAAGGAGGAAAAGGAGGAGGAGACGAGCGTAGGGGGGGGGGGCGCGTGTCCTCCCACCTACGGCGGCGGGGGCGATAGCGAGAGCGGCAGGGTGCCAGGTGCGTCCTCCGCGCCCAGTCCCAGGTCGGAGGCCGCGTCCAGCGCAGCCGATATTAGATCGTGCGAGGAAGTGTGAGCGACGGTGAAGGGGGGAAGCGAGGGGGGAACAGCAGCAGCACCAGGAGGAGCCATCGGGAGGGACGGACAGAGAGAAGGAAGGGTCAGAGCCTCACCGCAGGGCGATGACCGATCGGACAAGTAGGCGGCGGCCGCAGGCAAGGAAACGCTGGGAGGGGAAAGGTCGGGCGAAAGGGTGGAAGGCACGGGCTCAGAGCTGCTCAGAAGACGCGAGTAGTGAATGATGCCAACGCCGCACTCGGACCCACGGGGCGATGAAGGAGGACAGGAGGCAAACACAGTCTGCTGAGTAGAAGACGCCGAAGACGAGACCAGCGGGGTAAGACGAGGACTGCGGCGATGAGAAAAGAGGCGGGACCGTGGCTCCATCATGGAATCTCTCGCGAGCGCAGCATCACAATCGGAGTCCGACTCTTCTCCGTTGTCATTGTCACAACTGTCCTGAGAGGAGAATCTCGAGACGGGCGGGGTGAGCCTCGGCGAAGATGTCTCCGAAGACGAGGACCCAGAGGAGACGGAACACGAGACAGGCCTCGGGCAAAGGGCCTCACGTTCACCATCGTTGAGTCGAGCGGGTCGAGCGAGATTCGTAGAACGGACACCGGCGAGAGCACCCGAATAATATTGAATAGAGCTGAGAGGCCAGCCATCGATCAGCTTAGCCGAGCTGTATGTCGCGTACGCGGCCTCCAGGAGGCTGAAGGACGGCAGAGATGGTGGAACAAGACCCCACCGAGCAAGTACAGGAAGAGGGAAGGGACGTGCGAGGGCGGAGCGAAGAGCGCGATGTGGCGGACGGCAGCGGCAGTAGTGGCGGAGAGAGTCGAGACCGTCACCGCATCCGAAGGCGCAGCATCTCAACCAGCCGAATGTGCAATCCGTGCCGATGTCATCCATCCGTCGGCCCATGTACGCAGAGACGCCCATGCCCACGAGCAGGGGCAGCGCGCCAGCGAGGACCCAACCTCCTGCCAGTCGATCTGCGAGATGGCCAGGGAGTGACGCGGGAGGAGCTTCGACAACCTCATGACCAGGATCTGTTGGAGAGGGGCCGCTTGCCGAACGTGAAAAAGAGAAGCGCGGTGACTAAGGACGGGTGCGTCGTTGATGGGCGGCCTCAAGCTCGTCACGAGTGGCATGCACCGCAATCCGTCCCAACTGGTCACCAGACGATGAGGCAGCACGAGAAAGCGTCTCGACAAAGGACTCGGACTGCCAGACCCCAGGATAAAGCGCACGCGTCGCCAGCATCT